AGAGAGAGAGAGAGAGAGAGAGAGAGAGAGAGAGAGAGAGAGGAATTTTTAAAGGAAATCAAATACTTGCTGCTACTAAAGAACATTCAAGCTTTCTATGATAATAATTTGTACTCATTTGATAAAAATGAGTAATTTTTATCATATGATAAAAATTTGTAAACATTTGTACTCTCATCAACTCATCTCTTCAACTTAATTTGCTGTGGGGCTTTATTAACAAGGTTAGGAGGAGGAAAAGTAACTACAGATTGGAAAAGCTATTGAGCCAGTTAAAGTCATAGCAAATTTTCTACCAATACTAACTCCCAATACCTGCTAGTATCATAAGTGTCTTATTAATAGAAATATCCTTTCCATTTTAAGATGGTGCCATACCTAGTATTACGATAAGGTAAAAGTTACTGAGGAACAGGTCAGTGAGTAAAAGAAAATAATAGATACATAGATGATAGATAGATAGATAGATAGATATAGATATAGATATATAAATAAAATCATATATATTATCATAGCACCCTAAATCCCGTAAGAACCTTGAGTTCAATCTCTACTGTCTACTGCCAATGAACAGTGATGTTGAATTGTTTGTCAGAGATCTACTAATCCTTCCACTCATCGCACTTGTCAATCTTCAAATAATCTCAGTCACCATTTAGGGATTTTTTTTTTTCCTCCACTCATAATGATAGCTACAATCACGGTCACTGGTTTTTTGAGGGAAATTTAATACTGGCATTCAGGAAGATAAGAACCTCTCCCCTTTAAAGAACAGACAATGCTTCCAGGAGAAATATCCAGAGACCACAGGAAAACTTACTTCAATTGTCCTTGAAATAATCTTTGTATTAAAAACATCACTGAATGCTCATATCAAAATTTAAACTAATAGTGTTTCAATATTTGCTATTTTGTCTTTTGTTAGACATGGGAGAGGAGGTGTATGATGACGTGGAAGCCTCTGATTTCCCTGCTCCCCCAGCAGAGCTGAGGTAATTAAAATGTTCTCATGACAATGAAGTGACGAAAATCAGACTCCTTCAGGAAATTCAACTAGAATAAAACTCCGATGCGATGTGTATCTGCTGTGTGAGGTCGTATTCACTCTGTCCTCTTCTCCCTGATCCCAGCTCTAACTTTTTGCCAGGTTTGAGAGTGGATGGCCTTGACCCTCCTCTTCCTTGTCTCTCCCTGCTCGGTTGCCCTCCTCAAGTCCCAGTGGTTCTGCTCCTTGCTCCCTGGTTCTCCTCTGCCCTGACACTCACTGATGTGTGTATTCATACATTTATGCATTCATTCATTCCCTGGGAAAATATTTGAGAGCTTTATCACAACTGATCCCATTGATTCATCCCCCTTTACTTTTACTCTTTTTCTAAAACCATTTTGTCTTGAGTACGGTTCTTAGTTTACATCCCAGCCTTCTCGGCCTTGTTCCAGCCTCTTCTGTCTTCCACGAGAAGACTTTTTCCTTTTACAAAAAAGAAGAGGATTTGTTTTTTAACAGGACTTCTAGTATGCCTCTTTTTCTGAAAAGCATCAGTTTCTCAAAGATCCCATTCAAATTAAAACAAACAAACAAAAAAAACAGTCAACAATAAACAGTGATATTCTTCAGCTCACCAGGATTTCAATTTAGTTTTAGGCTAAAATTGTAAGAGAATCTAAAAATAGTTAATATAAAATAGTTACTATAAATCTCTTTTGAAATAGAAAACAACATGGTAAGATGCTTTTTTATATTGCAAATTTATGTGAGACTATCTGATACATACTGTGTAAAAAAACAAGAAGGCCTCTAGCTTTTTTGAGAAAAACAAAGGTGAATAAAAAGATCTTAGACTTGATTAAAAATGAAAGTAACAAACAGAATACAATAAGTGATGTCTTCTGAGCTGTACTGGTAAAAATGCACAAGTGAACTGAAAGTATTATTTTTACTAAGGTTGTTAAGCTAATTTGTGGAATAAGAGACAGTATCAAGATGAAAGAGACTGAAAGGAGAATGTGCTGTTATTTATATGTGAAGATCAAGTTCTATATGTTAAACAAATAAGAAAGATAAAAAGAGAATCGTTCTCCTTTTTCAGTTGTCCATGAAAGGGAAATCTTTTTTTTTTTTAATTTATTTATCTTTTATTATTTTTTTACGTCCTAATTTTCTTTTCTTTTCTTTCTTTGTTAGTTCCAGGTGTACAAAACATTAGTAATATGTTAAACTCTGATCTTGCTTACCATTGGGAAGTTGCTTCTATCCCAGACAGTTTTTAATGCATCTTTGTGTTTTATATTAGCATAGAGATGTCACTATATTCCTTAAAATAACTCTTCTAGGAACTCAGAGTCACATCTTGGCCCTTTTCTTTAAGCAAAATAAACCCCAGCTAATTAAACTTTATATGATATGTACTGTTTTTCAGAGTTTAAAACAATTTTATGTTCTGTAACATAGTATTCTATTTTAAAATAAATTATTTTCAAAGCTAGCTTGTGGGGAATTTTTAACTTTCCGCCCAGAGTACTGTAAGGTAGGAGATACTGGAGGAGGGGGCAGAACTTTAGGCAGGATATTGTGCTGCCTCGTTGCACCATGAATGAACTATATTATAAGATTCAAAAATTAAGAATCATATCTTTTAAATAAATAGTTACAAACAAAACTTCAACTTTAGTAATCTAAATAAAAGTTAATATCAGTGTTCAAAATGACTCATTATTCACTAACATTCTGATCTTTTAAATTCCCTTGTGCAGAGATCCAAAGCATTTTCCTAACATCCATATTTAACCCTAGTGAATGGTTCTTAACCTTGGCTGCAAATTAGCATCACTGGGGAGCTTTTAAAATATGTATGTCAGGACCTAGATCCCACTCAATCTAATAAATTAGAATTTAAAATTAATTTAAATTAATTGAATGTAATTATAATTTCTGGAATTGGGCAAGGGCAATGGTATTTTTTAAAAAGCTTCCCAGGCGATCCTATATGTGGCCAGGCTGGAAAATCGCTATCTTAGGCAGATTCGCCTCTTATAACAATTGGCTTTAGTCCCGTGGTGTCTATGAGATATCTCCCTGGCTCCACTTTAAGCAGATATGAAAAAGCTAACATGTAGATAAACTGTTTAAGCTATGAAAATCCATTTTTAAAACTGTTCTTTTTTAAAAAGCTTTCTCTATGACATTGGCCAAGCCATTTAATTATCTAGCAAGGGATGAAAAATATAGGGGGTTCAAGAATAGGTAGACTTACATGAAACCACTGATATTTAAATTATACCTCAGTGATTTTAAATGGTTCAACATAATAGATCATCTTCCATTTTAACTCATAATCTATATTCTTTTAAAGAATCTTTCTGCATTATGGAATGTCATCATTACAATGACTGTAATAAATTTCTAAGAAAAAGAATTGATTGAAAACAGAATTTAACAAAAATTATGAATAGTTTCTATTATACACTACTGTTTTTATATTTTTGAAACTAAGTGTTGTTTTTATTTGTGTTCTACCATCCTAGCCAAGGATCCAAGGCCAAGACAGAAGAAAAAGACCTTAAGAAGCTAAAAAAACAGGAAAAAGAAGAAAAAGACTTTAGGAAAAAATTTAAAGTACGTTATATTTAAATATCATACAAAGTTCAAAGCACTCATGAAAAACTATGATTTTTAATTTCCAAGCTGCATATTTTAAAAGTGTAATTATCAATATTACAGTTATCCATCATAACTCCTTTATTTTCTACAAAATGTATTTTAAATTTAAATTTATTGCTATAACAAATTAAGCAAACTCATACATGTGCAGTATATATACTGAAATAATCATCTAAATTTAGCTGTGCTTTGACTTTGATAAAAGGTAATCTAAAAATAGAATGAGCAAAATAGATATGGTTTATATATACAATGAACTATTATTCAGTTATGACAAAAGAAGAAAATCCTACCACTTGTGACAACGTGGATGGACCTTGTGGGCATTATGCTAAGTGAAATAAGTCAGACAGAGGAAGACAAATACTGTATGATTTCACTCAAATGTGGAATCTAAGAAAGCCAAACACATAGAAACATAGAGGACAATGAGGGTTTACCAGAGGCTAGAGAAGGGTGGGGGAACTAGGGAGATGTTGATCAAAGGGTACAAACTTTCAGTTATAAGATTAGTAAGTTTTAGGGATTTAATGTACAACATGATGATTATACTTAGCAATGCTGTATTATATACTTGAAAGTTGCTAAGAAAGTAAATCTTAAATGTTTTTACCACAAAAAGGAAATGGCAGTTATGTGAGGTGATTGAAGTGTTAAATACAGTGGTAATAATTTTGCAATATATAAGTGTATCAAAGCAATAACTGTACACCTTAAATGTTAACTTTTTTAATTTTAAAAATAGTTATTACATTAGGTTGGTGAGGTTATAAGTGACTTTTCCCAAGAAAGTTTTCTTTAGGGTTCTTACATTATCTTTTGAAAACAAGGAACTGTTTGTTTAGCAAAGACTTTCTTAATAAATCTGTCAAGAAATGAATTCCTTTAAAAACACTCACTCAACAATCAATAATGTATTTTTTTTACAGTATGATGGTGAAATTAGAGTTCTATATTCAACCACAGTAACACCCTCCTTAACTTCTAAAAAGTGGGGGAACAGAGATCTACAGGTAAAGCCTGGTGAATCTCTTGAAGTTATACAAAACACAGATGATATAAAAGTTCTCTGCAGGAACGAAGAAGGAAAATGTAAGTCATTGCTTTCTTTCTATATAGATTGGGCCCTCTGGAATTTAACAGCCGAGCAAATTTCAGTGATCATCCCTATTAACTCTTTTTGCTCTGGGCTTTGTGAATTGTGGAAAGCATTAAGAAACTGGAGATCTTGTTTGGCTGAAATCAACGCATTTTCTTTTCATCTCTTTTCATTTCCCACCTGCTGTATTTGGCACTGTGATGCCAAGGTAGTATTAAATTAGTACTTCTCAAAACGTGGTCCCACAGACCCCCAGCATCAGAAGACCCTTGTGTGTATAGGAAAATGCAGTTGCCTGGATCCACCCTTGACTTACGGAGTCGTGAGCTCCAGGGGTCAGATGGAATCTGTGATCATAACCTTTTCCCTACCTTATTCTTATGTACACTAAAGTGAGAACCACTGTGCTAAAGTGGTGAGTGGAGCTCACTCTGGCCTGGTTTCGAAATTAGACAGCATATGTCACACCTAGAATTTCCAGTTCTCCTACCTCACAAATTCACTTGTTTTCATTACCTATTTTGACACACTTAATATGACATAGTATTCCAAATCGGTACAAGAGAATTCCTAACCTCTTTGGCTCTATCAGCTATTATAGCAGACAGATGGAAATGTGTTTCCTCAATTTTAAAAGGAAGCTTATTTCATTTCAAGTCCAAGGAAGAGGAATTCAAAATTGTGTTGTCCTATATTTAAAATTGGATAACCAGCATGGCTGCCCCATCTCAGCTAGGTTAGTCTGCATCGAAAACATGAATTCTAAGTCAAATTTTGCTGACAGGAAGGTGACTCAGGGACAGGAGCTTTAAGAATAAAACACAGTGACTCGAGGGTGGGGAAAATGGTTCTAAAGTTATCGTAGAGGAGGTGTGGTTGGCTTTTAAAAGTAGAAAATGGAATGTGGGTACAAAGGCAGGATGAGTGTAGTATTCAGACTTGAAGCTCACTGGAGATAATATATAGATAGAGCTACAGGAAAGAAAGAAAACTCCCTTTCAGGCTAGCATTTGTAAGGATGTACCCCAAGGAATAGCCTACAATGCATAAAAAGTATACACATCAAAAATATTAAAAAATAATAAAATGTTCAAAATATTTAAATTAGAAAATAAGTTATGACAAATAAAACACCACATTAAATACTTTACATGATAATTATAATAATAAAACAGGAAATTCTCATGACACAATAGTAAGAGAAAGGAGAAGCCTGTTTAATGTGGGATAGAATTTGCTCACATGTTAAAAATTATGTACTGCCTCAAACTCCATCCTCTGAACCAATGTCCCTGGTAACTGCTGTCAGTGTGGATACTGAGCTAGTTGTATATTCTAATGAAGTAGGACAGTTTTCTGAGACAGGGTTATTGTCTCTGTGGCCTTGTATCTAGATGGTCTTCAGTGTGTGTGTGTGTGTGTGTGTGTGTGTGTGTGTGTGTGTGTGTGTGTTGACAATTTTTATAAGAGTTCGTTTGAGACAACCTTAAGGCATATGCTGGGGAGCAAGATCTAGAAATGCTCCTTCACTGTGAGCTTTAAAACAGCAACAATAAGAGAGAGATCAATGATGGCAGAGTAAACATTGTGCCTGCTTCCTTCCGTGAACACATTAAAATTGCAATTAATCATAGAAGAATCAACCTGGAGAATTATCTGAAGTCTAGCTGAACAGAAGTTTTATAACTAAGGGTATAAAGAAGAAGCCATGTCAAAACTGGCAGGAGGGGTGAAGACGTGACATGGGCTAGATCCAAACCTCTGTGGCAGTTGAAAACCAGGAGGGATACCTCAGCCGCAGAGGTTCCTCTCAGAGGAGTAAGGGACCTCAGCTGCAAACCAGTCTTCCCAGCCTGGGCTATTGGTTCCCAGAAGAAGAACCCCCACAACATCTGGCTGTGAAAAACAGTGGGACAGAAGACTGCGGGAAACCCAGACATCCTCTTAAACAGCCTTGGGCTCCAGCAGAGGGTCAGTAACTTGGGGGAGTATCAGAGACATACGGGGGGCCAACTGAGATGTGTGGCTTCAAAGCAAAGGCTGAAGGATGGTTGCCATTTTCCCAGTGTGGTGTCCTTGTCCTGTGTAGCCACAGATGGGTACTATATTTCACTGTGTTGAGCCTACCCCTGCGGGCCAAATCTGAATCTGATTGGTCTGATGAGTTACACCCTGCGGACTCACTGGGACCCCACCCCACCCAACTCACCCAACACCAAAGGCGCTTTATCCAAAAGCAGCCAGCCCCACTTGAGTTGCACTCTTTCTTGGAAAACTATTGGAGTCTATGGGCCCTAGGCAGGTGACAGCCGGCTTTAGTGTCCTCTAAGACTTTTACTGAGTAGCTCAAGGCTCAGCACTGGCACCAGAGCCAGAATCTACATTAACCTGGTGATTAACCACACTAGTGACTCCCTGAGACCCTGTCTCACCCAACATGTACTGCACAAGGCTAAAGAAGGAACCAGTAATCCCACTTCAGGATAATTATCTGAAAAATCCAAAACACTACTTTGAGGAAACATGTGCATTCATATGTTCATCGCAGCATTGTTTACAACGGTCACGATGTGGAGGCAGCCTGGGTGTCTGTCAATGGAAGAATGGATAAAGAGTAGGTGGTACATATATACACTGGAATATTGCTTGGCCATGGAAGAAAATGGGTTCTTTCCATCTGCGGCAGCATAGATGGACTTGGAGGGTACTGTGCTGAGTGGAGTATGTCAGACAGAGAAAGACAGATGCAATGTGATTTCGCTTATATGTGGAATCTAAGGAACAAAATAAACAAACAAAACAGAAATACACTCATAGATACAAAGAACATTTTGATGGTTGCCACCTGGGAGGGGGGTTGGGAATTAGTGAAAAACGGGAAGGGATTAATAAGTGCTAATTAATTGCTACACAATAATCAAGGGGATGTAAGGTATAGGTAGCATAAGGAATAGTCAATAATATTGTAATAATTATGCATGATGTCATATTGGTACTAGATTTGTTGGGATGATAGATGAGAGGGAGTTGGGGGACAGTGAAAAAAGTGAAGGAATTAAGAAGTATAAACTGTCAGTTACAAAATAGTCATAGGATGTAAAGTAAAGCAGGGGGAATATAGTCAATAATATGGTAATAATAATGTATAGTGCCAGATGAGTACCAGACCAATCAGGGAATCATTTCTTTAATTATACAAATGTCTAACCACTTTGCTGTAGACCTGAAATTAATATAAAATAATATTCAATGTCAACTGTAATTGAAAAATTAAAAAGGGGGGGAAAGATGAAGGACAAGAAGTGGTCCAAATTTCAAGGTATAAAACAAATAAGTCATGGGGATATAATATACAACATAGGAAATATATTCAATAATATTGTGATAGCATGATATGGTGTCAGAGGGTTGCTGGACTTATCATGGTGATCACTTCTTTAGGTATATAAATGTTGAATAACCATGGCATACATCTGAAAATAATATAAGATTATATCCTAGCTATATTTTAATAAAAATATTTTTAAAGTAAATGTAATATAAAGAGAAAACTAATGCAAAACTAGCA